TGTAATAGAATTAACAAAGAATAGAAGCAAATAACAGAAATCAATATAAGCAAATAATTGATGAAAAATGCCAACAACGAAGAAATATGAAACTAGAGCAGTATAAGATTAATTAATCTATCACTATTACTATTTATATTATTTAAATGTGCGATCTTATTGGTTGATAAAAATTGATGAAAAGTATGCTATTTTATTGGGTCGATAATTTTTTTTTGATGTACTGATGTACGCAAATAATTGTCGAATTTCGAGTGACTCAATTAACACTGCGATTTCATTGGCCAAACCTAAATTGATGTACGTGAAGTTACACGAAACTGATGTACGAAAATCATTTCTCTTTAAGAAATTAAAAAATAATTTTTGTAACTTTATTCTTCTAGACTTTTTTACATTTTTGCAAAAAAAAAATTGTTCTAGCTATTCTAGTTATTAACGATTGGTTGTATAATAATAGGTAAGGGTGAATTCGAAATAATTAAACATGTAGATATTACAATATTCTATACATTTAATTATGGATTCAAAGTAAATTTAAAAGACCGTTTTTGTAAAAACTCGCTTTGTAATAAATTTTAACGACAAATAATTCTCAATCATGATTGGCTAATTCAAATCAGTCGATTAAATACGTAGTTAACGTTAAGGCAAGCAATTGACCAATCAAATACAGTCATGCAATTCAATTTTACCGGATATCAAGCAATATCAATTCTACTTTACCGAGATCAAGCAATATCAATTCTATTTTACCGGAGATCAAGCAATATCACATAAATGGTTGGATTAAATTTTATGAAATGTTAATAATCACCAAATCGAAAGAATACGCCCTTATGACAGCTCTGAATGAAGCCAATGGATACTAGTGTTTTGAGCTCCATTGGCTCCATTGCCAACCCTGACCCGTATGTGCAGATTAAAGTTAGGATTAAAAATTAGAATAAAATTAAAGATCAGAGATAAAAATGAGAACTAAAAAATAAGGAAGGTGGATGCTGAAGATTTTTGCTTAATACATCCAACCCCGGTTATTTAAACAGTTTTTGAGATATAGTCACTGCCAGGGTTGGGCAGCCTTCTATATATGGGAACCTCCACAGCAAAAAGTGGCAATGGGCCAAAAAAAATTTTTTTCTTAAAAATGCAATTTCTTAAAGAATTAGAGTAATAGGCATATAATTTTAGAATAAAAATTTTTGGCCCATTGCCACCTTTTGCTGTGGAGGTCCCATATGTCCGATGAATTTTACCGGACACCGGACATATAAATTTGTCCGGCATCCATTGATCTATTAACATATATAGAGTAAAAATTGGCAGTCAATTACTTCCTAATTATTTGGTTTGCTTGACTCTGAACGGAGGTTTCTTATCTCTAAAAAAAAAAATCTTAGGCAATTTTAGAAATTTAAATTTCATTGGACAACCCGATTGCCCAATCCTGGTCACTGTGGTGCTAAACATATACATGCGTGTCTAAATTATTTTGAAAAAAAAAAATTCGCCATTGAAATCTTTTCTTATACGTATGAACTTTCACAAATAATTACTCTATTTAATGTATTTTGATATGTATAAAGAATTCGAATAATTTCGCCACTTATGAAAATTAATTTCTTCAACTATGGAAAACTAATTTCGACAGACTAATTGTTGAAATTATTCTTTATTAGAAGTAATTTGTATAGTTAAACACCATTGGTATGATTTAACAATACAGAAGCCAATTAAAAGAGTTCTTTTAAAATTTAATAGTTTTTTTCTGATAATTAGAAAATGGTTTAGTTTTATTAGACATACGGACTTAGATTCAGTACCAGTCGACTTCGTCAATTTAGTTAATAAACCAGAAAACGAACTTCGAATAAATATGCTGATTAAAAATTGTTTGATTTTAAACTTTTTAAATATTTTAGATTCTTTATTAGATTCTTTATAAAAAAAAACTTTATTTGATTAAAAAATTGGATTCTTTAATCAAACAATCACGATTTGGGTTCTGCACAACCCTGCATAAAATATCCCGAGTCACCGATGGGTATGTACTTGCTATATCGGGTATGGTATATAATTTATATGGCGATAGATGAATTAATGCTAAGTTAAACTTTTGCCATATAATAAACGCCCAGGGCCTGTTACAGTGTTCAACGAGTAAAAAAAATAATCACGTTCAATCTATTGTCATTTCATTGTGGTAGTTTAATAAACGTGACATTACACTATTGTTACTATATGAAGATTTGTCAAGTTTTGATTGGATTTAAAGTGTCTTAATTAATTGTCTAGCTTCTAAGCCTTCATAAATATAAATTTTTTTGTACCAAGATAATATATATATTTTTTTAACCAAATTTTAACGGACACTATACAACTGAACTTTTATAATGGCTGAACTTCCGATAAGATTTCAGGAGTATTGCCAGGTACGCGAGATATGTTTTACCACTGCAGTTAGTGTGTAGTGCTACCACTTTTTAGTAAAGGCAAAAAATGCAAAGCACAAGTATTAATCTTTTATAAATAATTTTATATCTTATTTTTTTTTATTTGTATGTCGGTACTTTTCCAATGCTATTAGCTCCAAGACTTAGGTGTCAACCCGGCAAACATAGGGTTCAATTGGTTGACTATGGAGTCTGATCGTTTTATATGTGTGCGTGAAACTGCAGGTGGAACAAATCAAGTCGTCATAATCGACCTTAATGATCCTCAAAATGTAATGAAAAGACCAATTTCTGCTGATTCTGCAATAATGCACCCAACAAGCAAAATTCTTGCACTAAAAGGTTGGTTCTTTTGTTTTAATTTTAATATTTTAATTATAAATTTCACTCAATTCAAATTTTTTTATATTATGAATGTAGCTCAAAGGCAACTGCAGATTTTCAATCTTGATCTAAAATCAAAAGTTAAGTCTCACAATATGCATGAGGATGTTGTTTTTTGGAAATGGATAAACGTCAAGACGCTCGGTCTTGTTACAGCAACTGCTGTTTATCATTGGTCTATGGACGGCGATTCTCAGCCGACTAAAGTCTTTGATAGGCACGTAACCTTACAGAATGCTCAAATAATTAATTATCGCGTGAATTCTGATGAAAAATGGATGGTGCTTGTTGGCATATCAGCTGAGGTTTGTATAATTATTTCTTTTAAACGTTTGCGATTGACTGAATTATTTAAGGGTCTTTTTGATCACGTAGGATGGAAGGGTTGCCGGTCATATGCAACTGTTTTCTAAGGAACGTCAAGTCAGTCAGCCAATTGAAGGTCATGCTGCTGCATTCGCCACTTTATTGTTAGAAAATGGTGTTTCCCCTACAAGATTGTTTACGTTCGCCGTACGAAATCAATCTGGCGCAAAAGTATATATTATACCATTTACTCTTTCGTTCATATAATGTTATAAGAAAA